GCCCGTATCACAAAAATTAAAAAAAAAAACGCCTAGGGGTATTTGCCCACTGTACCTCCATACCAAATTTCAGGACCTTAGGCCCTAAAATGAAGAAGCTGAATCCATTTAAAAAATGGCAGGAGAAGAAGGAGGAGAAGAAGAAACACCAGAAAAAGCAATATGGGTTCACCACACACCACTTCGTGGTGTGGTGAACCCATAACTAGCTAGCCCATTTTAAAAGCCAAAGTTTTAAAGTAAATCGTCGGTCATTATACGTCAGATAAGCAGGACAGGGGGCGGTATCGACTTCCGTCCGTTTCACCTTTGACCTGATTGTGTACTCACACCCCACTTCCGGGCATAAGGTCACGTGGTCCCAGTCATTAAATACACTGAACAAGGACAGGTTGAAAATTCATGAATTTTATTGCCTTTTGCCAAAAATTAGTTGGTATTTTTTTTCGAAAACCAAAATTTGTTTTATGATAACAGTTAAACTTTACCTTAGACTTACCCCAAATTTTCGACTGACTCCGTCAGCCTTGTTCACGGAATGGACCCTTCTACTGCAGCTTCCGGGACGTGACGTCGGAAACACGTGGTTGCAGCAGCGTATGACCCTCTGCTGCAAAATTTGTTTTGATATAGAGGATGAAACAATGTCATCCACGGTATCCACTTCATGTGGCCCGAGACCTATTACCGCAGGTTACGCGGGGCACGGCAGCCGGATTATCGGTAGGATTTACCGCAATTTACTCACAGTTCCAGGAAAGGAAACAACCTTAATCTGATCATCTCTCCCGTTTTACTTCATTCTAGACGGTTCGTATGAGGGGTTCGGTTCAGGAAAATCGCTTACGCTTTGCCTCATAAAGCGTTGAAAACGAATTACATTTTATAATAGATTGCCCAACCTATGATGAAAACCGACGGAAACTGTTACAACATATTACATGTAAGACCAATATAACACTACCCCATACAAAGACAGAGATATTCTATATGTTACTATCATGCCCTGTCAACATTTCCACTTATGTAGGCCAATTTGTACACAATTCAATGACAAAACGAGAAAACGTAAATAATTTCTGACACAATTTATTACTACATTGTATTAATAGAGTTAGATTACTATAATCAGTGTCTCTCTTTTGTTATACATTGTTTATGAAGCAGACCAGATTCCTATTACCGTTAGTAGAACTGTTAGATATTCTCAACACCACAATATGTGAATGTTAACACCACAAACTATGTATGTATATTTTGCCATACCTTGTACCTGCTACATCTGTTGCGCAATAAAGTTCTTCTTCTTCTTATCTAGGACCTTTCCTTCGTAAAATCTAATCATCCTTTCACCACCCCCCACTGTTATAAACGTCGATTATCTTATGCTCTTGTAAGGTGAGAATGATGGGGTCATCGCTGACTTTTATGGATTCTAGGAAAATGAAAAAAAAGGCCTTTACTCTCCCGGGAAAATCAAAATGACCTATTCGAGAAAGGCGTGCAGGCCTTCATTTTTTTCGCATTTCGCATTTATATTTCAAAGAAGAAGTCAAACCTCATAATAGTAAGCGTATAGAAGTATAAGTTTTTCCAGATAGTAGCTGTCTATTTCCTATTACTGTATTGTACCGTATAATATCTTTGACTCTGTAAAATAAATTAGCTTTCGGACATGATTTTGTGAATAAAGTTAATAAGTTTGTAAATAGGTTTATCATACCGGGATAGTCCATTCAATCGGAGGGACGGGGAGAGTCACGTGTGTAAAGCCGTTCAATATTCAATAGATTTTTATTTGTTTATTCACTTGGACATAAATGTAGATAATGTAAGAAAGGGGAAAAAATAAATATGAAACCTACGTACGGGAGAAAGACCAATATGGTCTATTATTGTGTTAGGCCACAGCAAGTACATTTTATGGATGACATCCTCCGCTGACTCAAAATCTAATGCGAGTGGCCAAAAAAAAAAAGATTCCTACATTTTCAAATTTTGACATCATAAACCTTGTTAAACAAGAAACGACACGTACATGTATATTGTGCTAAGTTTACTACCTACTATAATTACAACATCCATTTGTCACTGAAACAACTTTGCTGCATCAAAGTAAAAGACAAAACATTAATTTAGAGCCTTGCCTTGTCTCCCCTCTTCTTAGTTATCTGCCATCCACGTTCCGGTATGGCAACAGACATCTTTGCCCATTTTCAGCATGTTGACCACTGTCAAAGGCCAATAAAATTTCTTGCTTTTTTTCTTCAAAATTCAGGTAAAAACTAATGCGCGCGCTGATGTCATCCATAAAAAGTACTTGTTGTGGCCTTATAATTAAATGCTCATTTATGCTGAAACCAGCAGAACCGGTCCTCCTATGACCTTTACCCTTCCCGGGGTTGCCACTACGTGTGTGTATCACTTAGGCCACAGCATGTAAATTTTATGGATGACATCCTCCGCAGACTCCAAATCTGATACGAGCGGGCGAAAAAAACAAGACGGGCCGAAAAAAACTAGGTTCCTACATTTTAAAATGTTGACTCAATCATTGTTCAAATGGTTTTGATTCAGTGAGAACATCACATATACACAGCCAGCATCACATATCACTGCATCAAAGTAAGAAACAAAACATTAAATCAGAGCCTTTTCTTGTCTCCTCTCTTCATAGTTATCTGCCATCCACCTTCCGGCATGGCAACAGACATCTTTGTCCATTTTCGGCATGTTGATCACTGTCAGAAGGCAACAAAATTTCTTCCTTTTTTCTTCAAAATTCAGGTAAAAATTATGCGCGCGCTGATGTCATCCATAGAAATTACTTGTTGTGGCCTTATAATGAAATGCTCATTTATGCTGAAACCAGCAGAAGCGGTCCTCCTTTGACCTTTACCCTTCCCGGGGTTGCCACTACGTGTGTGTCACGTACTAGTGATTGACAAGGTTTGTACGACGTAAGATTGTCATAGTTTGTACGATTGTAAGATTGTAAATACCTAATTTTCGAACCAAAGTGATATATTAATATGTAGATTCCGATATGATTGTAATTTGTATTTCCCTACTATTAATAATCAATATTGTAAACAACTTGATCAGAATTCAGCCCTGTATGTCAAGGCTGCGAGATATGTATGTTGTTGATATGTTGATACAAACAAATAAACCAATAAATAAAAATAAAAGTCGAGGACTTCCTAAAGGTCTACTACAACTGTAAACACATACTACAACTGTAAACATATATTACAGCTGTAAACACATAATACAACTGTAAACACATAGAAGTAAATAAAAATAGAATTATCTTAAACATTTGATATTACATGGTAGTACACAGTTCATAATTCATAGTAGTACATTTGTATAGTTAGTTGGTATACAAAGAACATCCATTTTAATGAATCAGATATACTTCGATCTATCACTAAATACGAAGGGCTCACTATGAATAAACAAGACAAGAATAAACATAACATTCTCTAATGTATTTACCTATCAGCATATATCATTTCACGATATGATTGGATTGACCTATAGTACATCGAATATGTCAAATCATATATTTTTAACAAGCGAAAAAGGATATCTATCTTCGGTTATAATATTTTGATTTAGACAGTTCATGATGAAGTGGTGCTAATTTTAATCATATTTAGACAAAATGAAATGACCAAGGTTTCTGTTTCTCCTTCCCAAATGAACAAACAAACGTAAAGAAGGCGACATCTCCTGCTGTAGGTAAGCCTTTAGGAGTTATTGTCTATGGTTTTTTGGATCCAGTCCACAAAGACGGGGACTCGCGCGTTCACCCCCGGGATGTACTGACGTCCACAGCCGTAGCCCCAGCTGACTACCCCCGCTAGATATGCCGGCCCTTCGGACTGGAACACCGCCACGGGACCACCGCTGTCTCCCTGACACGTATCCACCCCGCCCGTACTACGGTACCCGGTGCACATCATGTTCTGAGAGTCGACCTTTGGATAGACAGCGCCCGACCAAGTGTGTATGTAGTTGTAGGCTGCGACGCAGTATGTGTCGTCTTCTACCGGCATGTCGGCTTGTAGTAGGACGGCAGACGAGTCCCCACTCTCCGCGACTGTACCCCACCCGGTCACGGTGACGACTGTCTTGGCCGCGGTCTTCGTGGCGGGGTTGGGGAGGCAAATCGGCTGGACTTGGGGAGTTAGAGACACGGCGGACCGTAGCTTCAGCAGGGCGATGTCGTTTGCGTTTGTGTCGTCGTCGTAGCCGGGGTGCTTGAACTTCCTCTCGATTCTGACCGTCTGTTTTGTCGCCGGGCTGTTGTACCGATCGTGGTCGCCGACTGCGACCCAATCTAGCCCGTGGACAATGCAGTGGGCCGCGGTGACGACCCACTTCGGGCTCAGCAATGACCCTCCGCAGACGTGGAACACTCCGGCTGCACTATACCGGCGGAGAGAGACCTGCCAGGGGTAGCTTCCAGGCGCAGCCTCGTTCCCTCCCACGATCTTGTTCCCACCGCTCTTGGTCCACGGTGTCCTGGGTACGACGGGGTCACCACATCCGGTGGAGGTGTGCGTCGCCTTGAACCCTGGGAAGCCCCTCTTCCGGTCACTCTTGAAAACCACCGTCATTCGGTTGGTCTGTGATCTGAAGACCCGGGACGAGGAGATTTCTCTCGCGCAGAACTGACCTCCCATCCGGCTGTTACCGTCGTAAACTTCCACGTAGTCCCGACACTTTCTTTTCTTACGAGCCTGAGTTAAGAACGATTGAACAAATTAAGTGAGAGAGTGATGGAGTGGATGTATTTACAAACAAATAAAATCGTGTATGAATGAATCAATGATCGATTGAGTGAATATCTTGTTGTTGTGCCTTAAGTGTCTTGAAATGACCCCCACTGAACAGTCAACGGTTCGGTTGTTTGATTATTGGTGCCGAGGGAAAAATTCTTTTACTTACTACTTACACCGTATCGTTTGCTTGTATTTTAGGCCATGCGGATTGAATCATATAGATGACATCCTTCGAACACCCCAAAACTGATGCAAGCTAGCGAGCAAAAAGTAAAAATAGGTCACGAATTCTATGTTGTCAGTAAGGTTGAACAAATGTCTGACTCAATGACCTTTTTAAGAAGTATTACATGTTGTACTTTTCGTCCTTCGTCAGTGACTATGACTTATGACACAGCAGAAACACAGCAAGTACAGAAGTTACCTGTAAGTGGAAAGAGGAGAACTTCAGGGTGACGGTCCTGCCGGGGAGAAGGTTGATCTCGTACACGCAGCGGCGTTTGCTGCTGTACCTCGAGGGCCAGCTTGGCGACACGATACTCCCGCCCAGATCCCCCGTGTGTACCCCGCCACAGTTGGTGCTCCTGTCGTCAAAATTCGGCGCTGTGCTCAAGACCACACCACAGGACAGGGACAGGAACAAGAAGCGGACAAGACTGTACATTGTGCCCGAAAAAAGTGTTGTATCGAGCAAGGAAAACGACCAGAAACATTTGAAAGTTCTGAAAATGAACGACAAATGTTGTTTCCTGAAGGCGTTGTCCAACCTGCTGACGTCATAATTATAACACCCGTTGGACAAGTAATGACGTCATCACGTCCGGAGGGGAGAGGGTGTTTATCAATAGACTTGATGAGGCTACTAGTACAACAAGAATTCCGAAATTTCATACCTCCATGAAATATATGAGTCTTTGTAAATGTTTTTTATTTGTCTCATTTACAATGGAAATAAGGTTATAACTAGAGAAGTAACATTTGCAAAGCAAATGCATAATGTTTACCTTCGGATATGGTCTGCCCTGTTAATTTTTACTCAAACATATTCACATACATGTACTACTAGTATATAGTGACAGGAGCAGAGCAGACCATGAAGTTTGCAACATTATGTAACTCAACACCAGTCACCATGGTGACAGACGTCAACAAATCATGTCATTGGTCAGGTCACAGGTCACTGTTTGGAGAAGAAGAAGAGGAAGAAACAGAGCAAAAACAATATGTTTTCCTTCGGTAAACATAATTAGCATAATCTACTTTAATTTATGGTTTTGTAAATTCAACATTTAGCATTTTCTCATTAATTATGCAAATTAGATCCCCATTTGCATAATTTGCATTTTATTATGTACAACTCTCTCTCAGTAACCTACACACCAAAAATGATGAAAATACGTTGTTATTATATCTGAACATACTTTGGGTTGTATGTTGGCTTTGACAAAGGTAAGGGCGTATACACATATACGTATCTATTTCCCAACTTATAAATAAGGGAAAAATCTGGAAAGCGCAGATTTCAAACTTGAAAGAGAACAGACTAAAGAATTCTACTTCAAATTAGCACACAAAATTCTCCCTTGCAGATTTTTTACTTCATAAGTGGAAAATAGTGAGCGCTTTTGGGATTATCTATAGCCCCACATGTGATATTTGTACCCAAGATAAAAACTCCATACACATGTTTTTTGAATGCATACGGTTGAAGGATTATTGGGAAAAAAATTAAACACCTTCTCTCTGAACTTGGCATCAACATAGATATTACTGTAGCCTCTGTACTCTTTGGAGAGAACCTCTATGTGACCCTGGCAAAATATGCCATTTATCTATCATGGCTCAGATATAAAGATAATCCAGAATTACTTTAAACAAGACTGGCAATAAAAACATACATTGCCATGGCGACGGTGGTTGCTGTTAGGGTTACTGTTTGCATGGTACTGCCATCATTTCATGGTTTTGAGGAAGACTTGGTACAGTCCTCTCCTGAGTGTATAGTGAACGAGCCCCGGGGTCACAGAAAGTAGGGCCATCCGGGGAAAAGAGTCTTCCCAAGGGTTTCCAGGAATGTGGGCATAGATGTGGGTCAGAGACATGCCTGTGGACATTCCATTCCTGTGGACAAAATGCCTGTACCATTCCTAGAATTCTTGCAAACTGCACACAATACTGTACCGTTAGGCTCCTCCCTGAGACGTCACCAAAAACACAATGTTCTACATATATTTACCGCCCTTAAACAAGAAGTATAAAATAATAGTATGTAGACACTCGTATATATTTGTTACGTCAGTGTATGTATGTATGTATGTATTTATTTTATCTTCATTTCCAACATGACTGAATACATTGTACAATCCAGAGAAGATATGTTAAAGGTCCTTAGGAACTTAATAGAATACTAATATTGTCACACATCAAAAGACCTGTGCTGTCATGTAGGAATGGCATTATTCTAGAAGGAGCATTTTCGAATACATTAATCTTAAAATGAAGCACCTTTGCACAATGATATTATGTACATGTACTCTGTTGCCTATTCATTTCTATAGACGCCTCATCATTTCTTGGTGTTGTCACATCTACACACCATGCATACCATACTGGCCATAAATGGTGTTTGGCTGTCAGGCAGCTAGCACTTCTTTTGACAAAATATTTATATTATATTTAAATTGATTATTATTATCATTATTATCATTATTATCATTATCATTATTATCATTATCATTATTATCATTATTATCATTATTATCATTATTATCATTATTATCATTATTATCATTATTATCATTATTATCATTATTATCATTATTATCATTATTATCATTATTTAAACACACAACAAAAGATCCGCTACGCTGGGGAGCTTTCAAGACGTACTCTGTCTCTTCCTCAACCCGATTATTATCTCGTCTTGTACTAGCTAGCACTTCGTTATGTTATAAATTCTTAACTTTCAGCTTGAGACTGACCCTGTCCTGTCTGATCATGACCACTGGTCATTTCTTTAAGTGTTGGGTTGTTTGGTATTTTTTTTACATACATACATAGTGTTTGGCTGTAAGGGGCTAGCACTTCGTTATTTGATAAATGCCCCACTTTCAGAGATTGAATCTTAGACTGACCCTTCACCGTCTAATCGTGCCTATTGCCCATTTCTGTAGATGCTTCGTCCTTTGGTTGTGTTTTTACACCTACATACATAAGGTTTGGCTGTAAGGCAGCTAGCACTTCGCTATGTGATAAATTCCTCACTTTCCGAGATTGAATATCAATTGAGACTGATCCTGCCCTGTCTAATCGTGCCTATTGCCCATTTCTGTAGATGCTTCGTCCTTTGGTTGTGTTTTTACACCTACATACATAGTGTTTGGCTGTAAGGCAGCTAGCACTTCGTTACGTGGCATATTTTCAACTGGAGATTCAGCGTTAGCCTGAGATTGGCCCTGCTCTATATTATCATGACCCCTGGTCATTACAGCAGCTGTGGTGTTTTTGTTGGATGAAGTGTTGGTCTGAGACTGACCCTGCCCTGTCTGATCATCACCACTGGTTATTACAGTAGCTGTGGTGTTTGTGTTGGATGCAGTGGTGGTCTGAGACTGACCCTGCCCTGTCTGATCATGCCCCCTGGTCATTACAGTAGCTGTTGTGTACAGAGTATTTAGTTGTGCGACAGTCTGCCCTGTGCCATAAGATAGATTTCTAGTGCCCAAGGATTCAATGATGGCTTGAGACTGGCCCTGCCCTGTCTCATCATCACTACTGGTATTTGCAGTATCTGTGGTGTTGGTGTTGGATTTGAGTAGGGCCTGATACTGTCCCTGCCCTGTCTGATTATCACGACTGGCCATTACAGTAGCTGTAGTGTTTGTGTTGGATTTAGTGATAGTATGAGACTGACCCTGCCCTGTTTTAACACGGGGGTGGTCGATGTCCTCATACTGGTGAACATCACCACTGGCCATTACAGTAGATGTGCTATTTGTGCTGGATTCAGTGTTGGCCTGAGACTGACCCTGCCCTGTCTTAACACGGGGGTTGTCAATGTCCTCATACTGGTGAACATCACCACTGGTAATTACAGTAACTGTGGTGTTTGTGTTGGATTTAGTAATAGCATGAGACTGACCCTGCCCTGTTTTAACACGGGGGTTGTCAATGTCCTCATACTGGTGAACATCACCACTGGCCATTACAGTAGATGTGGTGTTTGTGTTAGATTTAGTGATAGTATGAGACTGACCCTGCCCTGTTTTAACACGGGGGTTGTCAATGTCCTCATACTGGTGATCGTCACCACTGGTCATTACAGTAGCTGTGGTGTTTGTGTTGGATTCGGTGATGGCCTGAGACTGACCCTGCCCTGTATGGTCATGGTTATTGGTAGATTTTGGGTCGTTTTGTGGTGTTTCTGTACCTGAGTACATGGCATTTGGTTTTAAGGCAGCTACCACTTTAGATAGATGTGCAACTTCCAGAGATTGAATGCTAGCCTGAGACTGACCCTGCCCTGCTTGATCAGGATTGCTGTCAATATCCTCATACTGGTGAGCATCACCACTGGCCATTACAGTAGCTGTGGTGTTTGTGTTGCCACCAACAACATTGGGATTTAGCCTAAAAGGGGGCTGCCTGGTCTTCATCTTGTACCACACTAGTACTGTAAGAATAATACTGCAAATTGGTAAAGCTAGTGAGCCAATGAGAATTAGGGGAGAAATGGGAGCAGATTCTGGTTTGTCTGAAGTGATCGCAATGAGTGGAGTTAGTGTTGCTCTTGTTTTGATCTTGTTTTCTGCAGGATTTGCTGTTGAGCCAGCATTGCGTGTAAAGAACCAGTGATAACGGGAGGTGACGGTAACTGCGGATGAGGTATAAATATCAACAGTTGGTGGTGATGCGGTTGACTGTTTACAAATATCTTCAGGATCAAGTCGTGTTAGTTTTCTTCCCAAAAGTTTTGGGGGTCGGGAACATGTTATCTGGCTGAACTTACTTGAAGGAATTTTCATGACATTCAATATGAAAGGAGCCATCTGGCAGTCACAGCGAAAAGGGTTCTCGGCAAGTCCAATGGTACGAATAGATGGCAACAAGCGAAAAGCTGAAGGGAGAATAGTAGACAACTGGTTGCTCTGAAGGTCCAAAACTTGGAGCTTGGGCAGATTTTCAAATGCATTAGAATGGATGTTAATTATCTGGTTGCCTGAAAGCCATAAGCGTCGTAGACTGGGTAGATTTTGAAATGTTTTTGCCTGAATAATTTTTATTTTGTTATACTGTAGGCACAGCGATAGTAAATGTGGTAGATTTTTAAATATACCGGGTTGAATCATTGCTATCTTGTTATGTGAAAGGCTCAAATACGACAAATACATAAACGTTTGCCTACAGGAAGGATTTAGAGTGTAAATCGAATTTCTATCCAACTTCAAGCTAGAGATGGATGTTGGGAGGTTCGGGGGGAAGCGGATGAGGCCCATTCCGATGCACTTGCATTGTGATCTTGGTTCACAGCTGCAGGCAGCTTCTGGTGTGTTGATTTCCTTCAGGATGATGAGAAGGAAAATCAGCAAGTGTCGTAGATTTCTTCGCATGGTGTCCTGCCACCTACAATGTAGAAAGATTAGAAAGCATCTTTGTATGACGAGAAAAACTTTATATGTGGAATATAGAACTAAAAGATAAATTAAATATAAAAAAAGGTTGTCTTTTTTTCAGAAAGACAAAATATAGTCTGACTGAAGTGATCCTCCGCTCCCGCTCCCTCTCTGTTTTCACCTCTCCCCTAGGGGAGATTGGAATCCTGATATTCAGATCCCAATTCAGTAGTAGAAATACTAGAACTCATAGATTGAATCATTTCACACCTAAAGTTTCGATCAATTTCAGCATAGGCAAGCCTATTACAAAATGTACTATAATTGTAGGTGAATTACATGTACTAGATTCGAATCAAGATTTGTCCTGGCAGCATTATTCCCAAATTGCAATCTTTCCAAACTTAGACCCAAATATATTTCCAATTGGCAAAATAATGTGAGAACAAATTGGCAAAATAAAGGGAAACAACAATATTCTTACAAACCATGATTTTATTCAGAATTTACAAATCACTAGCAAACTGGAAAAACTGGTTTTGGAGTCACTATAATAGCCTAATGAAAATATCTGAGTCTGATTTACATATTCACTTACCTATGCTGAAATTGATCGAAACTTTAGGTGTGAAATGATTCAATCTATGAGTTCTAGTATTTCTACTACTGAATTGGGATCTGAATATCAGGATTCCAATCTCTCCTAGGGGAGAGGTGAAAACAGAGAGGGAGCGGGAGCGGAGGATCACTTCAGTCAGACTATATTTTGTCTTTCTGAAAAAAGACAACCTTTTTTTATATTTAATTTATCTTTTAGTTCTATATTCCACATATAAAGTTCTGAATTTAAGTGTTTAAGGACGTTATATACTTAGTAGTCCTTGTATGCACTATAAATGCCCTTGAAGTGTGTAACAACCAGACCTAAGTTCCGGGGTGTTGGCTTTGGTTCGGCCGGGTTTGGTGGCCGGGCTCTGAAATCTGTCGTGGTCATAATCAAAACCCTATTCACATTTTGTAAAACAACTTCTGCGCACACCCGCTACTGTAAAGGTGTGTCAAGGTCAAAGACAAAGACATGGTAGGGGCCCTGGGATTTTCCGGTGGATCACCATAATTTTGCCGTGCTGTTCATGCGATCAGCGAGGTTGAAAATATTGTTTTAAAAATTTATTTATACTATAAACCACAGTGGCGCTACTCTGTAGGGATTGGGTGTTCCGGTGGATATTTCGCTCTGTGCAGCTCATCAGTCTTAACAAATGTTCCAGTGGACTTGTCGGACACAGGGAGCGGTACTGCCGGTGTTATCACGATTAGGTTACGGCGTATTTCAAATTTGTCGCTGGGACCCGTGTTGATGATAACTCCGTGCGTCAGCGGCGCCCGAAAATACAGAAAACAGCCCGTAAACTACCCGGCGGGGCCCCTGTTTCCAGTTGTTATCGTATGGACCTGTTAATTGTCTGAGATTTGCTGCTTGAATATTTATATTGTGTACTCCATCTTATGGCTCTGTTTGGACCTCCCAGGCAAGGAAATCAACAGAAGATTAAAATTGTACATTTCTCTTTAAAAAGTTCCTATTTCTGAAATATTATTAAAATAGCTATTATAGGACTGTGTTTCTTAGCTTTGCTACGTGCACTCTACAGAAAGGTGTAATTATAGAAAAGCTCCTTGTAAATGTAGACAGATCAGCTGTGTTGCCGTGTTCACTCTGTAAAGCCTTGTGTTGGCAAAATGGTCGAAACATCAAGCCTTAAAAATAGTTTAAACAAACTGTGGCTTAGCAAAGGGCCATGATGGGTTATCAGTAGTTTCTGCTTCTAGCGGAATATTTACCAATAGTGCCACGCAAATGAAACAATCATGGCGGCGCAGCACCCCGTTAGAACTTACCTTTTCCCAACAAGCTATTAAGATTTACATTTTTTGATGTCCCATGCCCGTAGCCAGGAGGGGGGGGGGGTTCG